TGCCCGTGTGTGCTTGTGAGTGCGTCTATGTATGTGCGACCGTATGCATATCGAGTTGTTTACTCGATATGATTACTGCACGTCAATAGCTTCATGTTGCCAGTTGGCCGGTTAGTCGGTCCGCTTGAACGTGAACGAGAGGAAGGACTTACTGCCTGGCGGGCGCCGTGACCATGAGCGTGAAGGTCCGCTCGAGCGATGCCCCGGGAGCCAAGGCGATCGGCTCGTCTGTCTTGATGAGGGTTTGCTCCTTCACCTCCTTCAGGCTGAACATCGGCACCTGCGCCTGCTGAACCAGCTTCACCTGCAACGCAACCGGCGAGTTAGTTTCGCTCTCACGGGCGTGCGGGCGAACTGAGGTTATGCTCTATGGCGTCAGAGGGTAGTGTTCAGGATTGCTTGCAGTTTTCATTCTCTCACAAATAGATAGTGATAATGAAAATGAAAATGATAACGATAATTATGATGATAATAATGATCATGATCATGATTATGATAATGATAATGATACCAATTTTAACAATTGTATTATTATTATTTCTATTATCATTATCATTTCTATTATCATTATTATTATTATCATTATTATTATTATTATTATTATTATTATTATTATTATTATTATTATCGATAAATATCATTATTGTTATCATCATTATTATTACTATCATCATCATTATCATTATTATTTTTCTTACCATTTTTATTTTTTGTTAGTTTATCATTATTAATATCATTATTATTATAATTATCATTACCATTATCATAATTATTATTATTATAATTATCATTACCATTATCATAATTATTATTATTATAATTATCATTACCATTATCATAATTGTTATTATTATTATATATATCATTATTACTATCATTATCAACATTTTCATCATGATTATCAGTTTTGTAATCTGTTATTATCATTATTATCATAATTTGTATTCTCATCATTTGTATCATTATCATTATTATTACCATTACTATTATTATTATTATTATTATCATACTGATTATTATCATTATTACTATTGTTATTATTATCATCGTCATTATCATTATCTGTTATGCTTATTATTATTACTATTATAATTTCTATTGCTATTATTATCATCATCTTTACTACGGTAATAATAATTATTATAATTATCATTGCTATTATAATCATTATTATCATCATTATAATTATCTTTATCAGAATCATTATGATCATTATTGATTTGATTACCATCATTCTTATCATCAATGGTGATGGTGATATAAACATCATTACTATTATCACTTTTATCATTGATATTATTGTTATCATAAATTATTATCATTATCATTATCTATCATTATCATCATCATTATAATTTTTGTCAATATTTAATATTATCATTATCATTATTATAATCATTATCATTATCATTGTTATTATCATCAATATGATTATCATTGTCATTATCGTTCTTAATTACTATCATTACTGTTATCCTTATTATTGTTATTATTATCATTATTATTATCTGTATTTTTGTTGTCATTATTATTATTGTTATTATCATTATCATTATTATTATTATTGTTATCATCATTATCATTACTATTATTATCATCATTATTATTACTATTATTACTATTATCATCATTATTATTATTATCATTATTAATATTATTATTACTAACATTGCTATATTATCATCATTACTATTATTATCATTGTTATTTTTTATTATTATTATTATTATTATTATTATTATTATTGTTATTATTATTATCATTATTATAATTATCATTATTATTTTCATTATTATTATCATTATTATTATTACTATTACTATAATCATTATTATTATTGCTATTGTCATTATTATTACAAATATCTTCATTATCCTTATTATCATTATCATTATTTTATTATTATCATTATTATTATCATGATTATTATTACCATTATCATTATCATTATTATTATTATTATTATTATTATTATTATTATTATTATTATTATTATTATTATTATTATTATTATTATTATATTATTATTATCATTATTATCATGATTATCCTTATTATTATCATTATTATCATTGTCATTATCATTATCAACATTTCCAGTATTATCATAATTATTATCATTATCATTATCATTACTGTTATTATTATTATTATTATTATTATTATTATTATATTATTATCATTATAATGATAATAATAATAATTATTATTATTATTATCATCATCATTATTATTACTATTTTTATCATTATCATTATCAGTACTATTACATCATTATTTTCATTAAAAAGAATGATGGTGATATCCATAATGACGCTGATATAAAGCCAAGAAGATGAGCCAGCCTACCTTGACCCTCTTCACCTCTCGCGACGTCTGGTTCCTGATGACGATGCTGACGGGGACCTCGTCGTCCGGGCGGAACACGGGGGCGGGCAGGCCGGCCCGGATGCAGAGGGCGCCAGAGCACGTGAAAAAGGTCTTGGAGAGGCTGCTGCGG